ATTTGAATGGTTTCTCCTCAATAAAAGGGGTCAGCACTTGCTCCTCTCTCTCTCTCTCTCTCTCTCTCTCTCTCAACCACTAAGGTTGGAGGAGCCAGCACAGGACCCAAAGAAAAAGGTATTTCTCTGTCTCTGTATGATTATTTTGTGCAGCCCAGTTCACCTGGAGTGACCCTGACTGTTTAGTCATGAGATGTGACACTCCTTTGCCCAATCCAAAGACTGTCCATTCTTCCCATGTCCCCCCCTCCCCCATCATAGATCAGCATCCACTAATCTGAGAAAACATTCAGTCTTTAGTTTTTTGGGATTGACTTACTTCACTTAGCATAGTATTCTCCAACTCTATCCATTTACCTGCAAATGCCACAATTTTATTCTCTTTTAAAGCTGAGTAATATTCCATTGTGTATATTAACCACAGTTTCTTTATCCATTCGTCTATTGAAGGGCATCTAAGTTGGTTCCACAGTTTAGGTATTGTGGATTCAGCTGCTATAAACATTGGTGTGGCTGTGTCACTATAGTATGCTGATTTTAAGTCCTTTGGGAGGAGTGGGATAGCTGGGTCAGATGGTGGTTCCATTCCAAGTTTTCTGAGGAATCTCCACACTGCTTTCCAAAGTGGTTGCACCAATTTGCAGTCCCACCAGCAATGTATGAGTGTACCTTTTCCCCACATCCTCTCCAACGCTGATTATTGCTTCCATTCTTGATAATTGCCATTCTGGCTGGAGTGAGATGAAGAGTATTTTTGATTTGAATTTGATGAGACACATTCTTTTTTTTTTATTTTTTTTTAATATTTATTTTTTAGTTTTCGGCGGACACAACATCTTTGTTTGTATGTGGTGCTGAGGATCGAACCCGGGCCGCACGCATGCCAGGCGAGCGCGCTGCCGCTTGAGCCACATCCCCAGCCCGAGACACATTCTTTTTTAATATTTATTTTTTAGTTTTAGGTGGACACAATATCTTTATTTTTTTTAATTTTTATATGACACTGAGGATCGAACCCAGTGCCTCATGCATGCTAGGCGAATGCTCTACCACTGAGCCCCAGCCCCAGCCCAAGAGAGACACTGTCTTACTAAACTGGGAAGAGAAGGGAATTTCTTGAACTGATGAGGCTTCCATGCCAAAAATCTAAAGCTGGCACTAGACACGATGATCCTCAGCCTCAATAGAAGAAGTAAAGGTAGGGAGAAAGGAGACAGAGAAAAGGAAAAAGACTGTAGCTGTGAATCTGAAAGCTCCTGTGGTCAGACTTACTCTCCAGATCTGATTTTCCTCCAGGCCCGTCTCTCTCAAATTTCTGAGAAATTTACAAATGTTAGAGTTACTGTACATTTGCTCATCTATAAAAATTGTCCTATTTTTATTAAAGCTCAAATGTACTGTTCACTTGTGCAATGTATTTTCAGATTAGATAAAACAGAAATGTGTATTTTACAAATCTGTACTATAAACCCATTCCAAGCATTAACTAGGTAGTGCAGATAATGTCAACCTCAAGCTCCTGGAAAGAACCAGAACATCATAAACAACCTGTGACCCATGATCAGAGAACTGAGTTCACCATCTGATGTTCCCAAATACAGCCCAAGTTCATCCCTGGTAAAGTTTTCTTTAAAAGAAGAGTCGTAGCCAGAAGAAGTGGCACATGCCTGTAATCCCAGGAACTCAGGAGACAGAGGCAAGAGAACCCCAAATTCAAGCCCAGCCTGGGCAACTTAGTGAGACCCTGTCTCAAAATAAAAAGATCCGGGGGTGTGGCTCAGTGACAGAGTTCTAGGGGTGATTTCAATCTCCAATACTTTAAGGGGGAGGGGGGGAAGATACAAAGTATCTAGAATGTAGAAGAAGGAGCCAAAAAAATTTTTTTGAGCCAACTTTTTTGACAGAATATTTTGCTAAAGGAAAGAGAATCTGAACAAATAAATATTCCATCAAGATGTGCATGTTCTCCACATTCATCTCCCAATGTCATACGATGCTAACCAAAGTTCCAGCTGGAGTTCCCTGAGAGATTTGATAAATTTACTAAAGCATTTTGCTAGCTGTACAAAGATCCACAAATTACTAAAAAAAGAAAGAAAGAAAAGTCTGGAGGGTAGGCTTTTTTCCCTCCAAGATTGAAAAAACCAAAATAATAAAAACATCTGTGGCCTTGGCACAAGAACAGACAAGGAGAGGATGAACGGAAGAGAAGAGAGGACCAGCAGGCAAGCTGGCAGGGAGAGGGACTGGACATCTATTAAGCCAGGTGACGTTGGAAGAGACAGCTCTTTATGTTCAGAAAACCAAAACTGGATTCCTACCTAACGGCCCATGCAAAGGTGGCCCCTAGATGGTTCGCTGTAGACGTGAAGATCGAAAGACAAAATTAAGCTGGGCATGGTGGCGCATGCCTGTAATCCCAGAAGCTGGGGAGACTGAGGCAGGAGGATCATGAGTTCAAAGCCAGCCTCAGCAATGGTGAGGCACTAAGCAACTCAGTCTCTAAACAAAAAATACAAAATAGTGCTGAGGATGTGGCTCAGAAAGTGCCCATGAGCTCAATCCCCAGTATCAAAGGAAAAAAAAAGACAAAATTAACAAAAGACAGTGCAGGAGGGTACTGTTGCAGTGGGGCAGGAATAAAAGACTTAAAAGTTTCAAAAGCATAACAGGTAAGCACTGACCCCTCCCCCCGCTTTCTGCAGAAAGAAAAAATTTTAAAGAAAACTTGATGAATTTGATTATGCTAAAATGAAGAGTTTTGTTAAATGAAAACACACCGTGGGCAAAATTAAGAGGCACTTAACAGAACAAAGAAGGTGTTTGTGATGTCTAAAGCCAATAGGACATTAATATCTAGAATAAATGAAGATCTTGTGCAAGTCAACAGAAAGTCGGCAAAAACCCCAAAGAAAATGGCCGGAGGATCTGAACTGGCAATTTCCAAAAGACAAAAACTAAATCCAATAAACACACGAAGAGATGATCCAAATCCTTAGTAATGAAAAATGGGGCAGAAGAGGTCTAACAGCTGGGTGTGGGGTGGTGGGTGGATCCTTGGGGAAGCTACCTGGTTCTACTTATGCAAATCAGGGTTTCATACCTGGGGTACACCAGGGGCTCCCCTCCCAGCCACCCTGCAGACATGGTAGAAGTGAGAGTGGAATGGTGGGTAAAAATGCATAAATGGATGCATGCAGATAAGAGAGAGACCTGCCTAGACCAGCCATATAACTGACTAGGAACTGAGGAGCATGGTAACACCCCCCATCTACACAAGCCCACGTCTAGAGCTTGCAGGCCATCAGGGAGGCCCAGAACCACTGTGGGACAAGAGAGGGAGCCCAAAAGTTTCAGTGACTCATGGGAATATCTTATGGTCTTAGGGCACAGGGACAGAGTGGAAAATGCTCCTGCACATCCCAGTGCAAACGAGGAAACTGACTTGGGCTAATCTAAGTGATCAGAGTACTAGAGGTGAGAAGGGGGCAGTGACCTGGGCTAGGGTAGTGGCAGGTGAGGGGTGGGGGGAAGGTGGGAGGGGTGAGACCAATTACGAGCACCCACGCCTCCTGCTTTTATGGCCCAGATCCTGGCTTCAGCCTGTAGGAGAAAGGCCAGGGCAGGGGGGTGGCTGCAGGAGCAAGCAGTCCCAGCCAGACGACCAGGGCCAGGTCCCCCTGCCCCTGGCAGCTCTGGATAGCCCAGTGGAGACCTCCTTTGTGCTGCGCGCGCGCGCGTGTGTGTGTGTGTGTGTGTGTGTGTGTGTGTGTGAGAGAGAGAGAGAGAGAGAGAGAGAGAGAGAGAATATGAGTGTGAATGGCTCTTTGTGTGCATGGATGTGTGCGCCTGAGCATGTGACAGCAAGCTGTGAACTAGTGTGTGTCTACTGGCTAGTGTTTCCGCAGTGGCTCAAGCTCAGCACCACATACAAACAAAGATGTTGTGTCCACCAAAAACTAAAAAATAAACATTAAAAAAAAAAGGAGTAGATTACTTTTGAAAGGGCCCCAGAATTGGCTGCAAGGAAACAAAGTAGCAAAAGGGCACAGCTTTCAATTTTTTTAATATAAAACTGCAACATAGTTTCTTTGCTTTTGGGGGGGGTAGTTTATTGAATTGAAGGTCATACCTTGAGGATTGGGGAAGGCAATTGCTTTTAACTCAAACAAGCAAATTAAAGAAGAAAGATGAAAACAGATCGGGTGTTAAGGGTGGGAGGCACCGGCAGGACACCTGTAGGGAGGAGGCTGGTTGTGTGCGCATGGGAGAACCCAGGCAGAGACACACAAGGCAGACGTGGAGAGTGTTCTCTGGCCCAGGCACAACCTCGGCCCAGCCCTTCCTGGGCAGAATTTTTAGCACAACCTTGGCCCAGCCCTTCCTGGGCAGAATTTTACCTCTGCTCCCAAACAGTGCCTGTCCCTACTTGTGCCACCTCTGGGTGGGCCTTTTCCAGAGGGCTCACCCTCTGTCCCCTCACCAGTTGGCACAGGGGAATGGCTGCCCATTAGCAGCTCTTGGAGTCCCTCTGAGCTTGCGGAAGCCCCAGCGGGACTTTGTGGGCCACACGTGCAGGCGCAGGTGGGTGCAGGGTCTGTCTCCTCCCAGCCCTTCCCCAAGCGCAGCTGCACCGAGGGCCCTGGCCGCCTGCCATGAGGAAATGAGGCTCCGCCTTCCACACCCATCTATCGTGGTCTGGTACCGAGCGCCTCCCCCACCCCCGTCTCTGCTCTGGGTGGGCTGTGGTCGGGGATGTGGAAGAGAAAGAATCGAGAGGTGCTCTCCCGAGTGCTCCAGGCTCAGCTGAGTCCTGTCTGGGTTTCTTTGTGCCTGGTGGGGACCCCATCCCACTGGCGCCTGGACTCACGAGGCCCAGCAGGGAACATGTGACCCGCAAACGCGGCTGTCTCGCGTCCAGCGGGCGGGGACGGGACGAGCCGGGGGGCCGCCGCTGGTCAGGACTCAGCGGCCAGCGCGGTGACTCAGCAGCAGGGGCGGAGCGGGGCGGGACGCCCCTTATAAGGCTCGGCTGCCACTGGGCCTGCGCCGAGCTCCGCCGCCGTCGTCCACGCACTCAGTGTCGGTCCCGCTCTGCTGACCGCGCAGCAGCCAGTGAGTCCGCGTCGTCTAGTCTCCAAGGGCTCCCAGGATGCTGTTGGCGCGGGGCCCGGGCTACCCGGGGACTCGGAGCTCCCAGCACCGGGCAGCTCCCACCCAGTGCCCCAGTGGGACTCAGGGGTCTCAGGGCGTCCCCAGCGCGGAGCTGGGAGCTCTCAGGGGGCCCAGAGCAGGGACTGGCCCTGGGGAGGGGGCGGGTGCACTCTCCGCCCAAGTCCCCACTGGAGCGGACGGAGTGCACCCGCCCCACAAGACACGCAGGGATCTAACTGTCTTCTCTCCCCGCTCTAGTGCCGCCCTACACCATTGTCTACTTCCCGGTTCGAGGTAGGAGTCTTCGGCCGCAGGGATGGGAGGTACAGGGTGGTATCTGCAGCCCCTGGCCCCTCGCCCACCTGCAAGAGGCCCCACCCACCCTTGCCTCTCCATGTGGCTGCAAGGCCTGGTCTCCTTTGCCATGCCCAGGTCTCTCCCCCGTATTCTGTGAATCAATTGGAGTCTCCTTTCCAGTGACCCCTCCCCTCTCTCCTTCCTCTGGTTCCCCTGAGGCTGGGTCTCTGGGCTGTCCCTCAACCCACCCACCCCGTCCTGACCCCCACCCAGGGCGATGCGAGGCCATGCGCATGCTGCTGGCTGACCAGGGCCAGAGCTGGAAGGAGGAGGTGGTGACTCCGGATACCTGGCAGCAGGGCTCTCTGAAGGCCTCCTGTGTGAGTGACCATACTTCTGTGGGAGCATGAGCTGGGCCTTAGAGGGGCTGCAACTAGGGCAAGTGGCAGCCAGGCTTGGTGGCCCTCACGGAATCATGTCATCCCCCAGGTGTATGGGCAGCTGCCCAAGTTCCAGGACGGGGACCTCAACCTGTACCAGTCCAATGCCATCTTGCGTCACCTGGGCCGCTCCTTGGGTGAGTCCTGAGGACCATGTGTGGCCTCCCAGTCTGGAGTGGATGCAGTTGAGACATGCAGAAGCTGTGCCCTTTGCCCAGGGGGCTGCCCAGGCCCACCTCCCTCCTTGCCCTGGGCCAGGCTGCCTCTCAGGAGCTCTGAGCACCTGCAGTGTGTTAGGCTCAACTGTGCCTCCATCTGTGTCCCCTTCCCCTCCCAAGCCGAGGCCCACCGAGAGCCACATGCCTGTGTTGATCAGGCGCCACTCATGCTGTCTGCTCCCCTGACCCCCCAGGGCTCTATGGGAAGGACCAGCGGGAGGCAGCCTTAGTGGACATGGTGAATGATGGCGTGGAGGATCTTCGCTGCAAATATGTCACCCTCATCTACACCAACTACGTGAGCCTGGGCACTGGGAGTAAAGGAAGAAAGGGGCTTCTTCTGTCCTGACCCCCCACCCTCATGTGGTTCTGGTTGATCCCTATGCCAGTCAGAGTGCCGAGGCTGGGTCAGGCTCAGTGCTGGGGCCCAGGGACCTTCATGGGCAAGACAACCCTCACTCATCCTCATTGCCAGGGATGAGCCAGACTAGTAACAGTAGCGGTGGCAGAGTGCAAGCCCAGGAAGCCTCTGGCAAGACATGGGTCCCCTGGCCTCTGCTGGGCCGGGGCTTCCTGGAGCAGCCTGAGGAGGAGGATCTGTTGCCGGTTTCTGGAAGGAGATGCTGGCAGTTTTGATGGGCAAGGCATGCAGATCTGGAGCATCAGGACCAGTTTAGCAGAGGCCGGGAGCAGGCAGGCACTCACCAGTGTGTGTGTGAGGCCTGGGTGTGGAGCTGGAGCATGAGGAGACAGAGGTGGGGGACAGCAGGCCAGGTCCTGAAGGCCTTGGGCTCTCCTGTGGGCAGTTCTAAGCAGGCTGTGTCTGCTTGGGAGATCTAGAAGAATCCTCCAGGGAAGCCAGCTGGGCAGCCTTTGCAGATCCCAGTGGGGAGAGGAAGGTGAACAGAGTGGAGAATTAGCTGAACTGGAGGCACTTGGAGTAACCTGGGGAGCAGCCAGGCTCCCGTCTCTGGCCTGCCCACCGTGGGCAGCAGAGGGGGTGCATCTCGGGGGCAGCAGGGGCTTGGGTGCGGGTGTGGAGGATGATCGCAGCCCGGGCTTCCTCCTGCCAGGAGGCTGGCAAGGAGAACTACGTGAAGGCACTGCCCGGCCACCTGAAGCCTTTTGAGAACCTACTGTCCCAGAACCAGGGAGGCAAGGCCTTCATCATTGGGGACCAGGTGAGGATCTGGCCCTTCTGGGACACCCCCTCCTTGTGAATGGAAACCGGCAGAACCATTCACACAGCCCAATGGGGTAGTCCTGGGGGGTGGGCTCCGCTCTCTGCCTCCGTCCTGCTCCCACCAGCTGAGACCCACCTTCCCCGCAGATCTCCTTTGCTGACTACAACCTGCTGGACTTGCTGCTGATCCACCAGGTGCTGGCTCCCAGCTGCCTGGACGCCTTCCCCCTGCTCTCGGCCTACGTGGCGCGCCTGAGCGCCCGGCCCAAGCTCAAGGCTTTCCTGGCCTCCCCGGACCACGTCAACCGCCCCATCAATGGCAATGGCAAACAGTGAGGCTGCAGTGAGGGCTGCTGGGCCCTCCCAGAGGCGGGCTGCTTGCTCCCTTGAGACCAATAAAATTTCCACGACAGATGCTGCAGCGTGAGCGTTGTTTTTTGGGCAGAGGGCTCTGGGACCCTCGCTTGTCGGGCTGGGAAAGGTACAGACTGGAGAAACTTGCATCCAAGGCCCAGAGTTTCTTCCTGGAGCCTGCAACCCAGGCAGTTCACTGAAACAGGAAGCAAGAAAGACAGGAAATGAAAGTAAACAGGGGCGAGTACTCACAGCCATCGTCCAGAGGACGCCACGGTCTAGTGAGGGGGAAGTTCATGGATGTGATTTCTAGTCCCGCAGGTGCATGCTAGAGTGACCCTCCAGGACATGAGAGCTGAAGGGACTCGACAGCTGTGGGTGTTGTCCCCCTCGGCTGGGCTGGTGGGGGCCTCCCTCCTGTGGGGGGCTCGCCTCACTTCCTGGGGACTTGGGACTTTGGTGCATCCTGGGCAACAAGCCACACTAGTGTCCCAGTCCAGCTTCTCCAGAGGAGTAGAGCTAGTAAGCTGCTGTAGGGAGGCAGAATTTTTTCCTCTGACCTTTGGCTGGCACTGAGAATTACCCTGAGAGATCAATAGGAGGAAAGCGTTCGGGAACCCCGAAACACAGCTAGTGTTGAACACCTGTATACTGAGACAAATAGCAGAAAATGTGATGGCCCAGTGGCTTGGGCTAGGGCAGTTAATTGAGTAAAGTGTCCATGAAGATAGGGTTAGTTTAATAAGGTTGGTTTGTACAGATTTTCCTTGGCCTCCGTATTCTGTCCTTGATGAGAATGGCACTGTCCTCTGTCCGTTTCTGTTGCTACAACAGAACACCTGAGACTAACTTATAAAGGAAAGAGGTTTGTTCGGGTTCATAATCCTGAAATTCCAAGAGCATGGCACCAGCATCGTGGCCAGCTTCCTGCAGAGTGGGAAGTGGTCCTGGAGTGACCCATCCCTGCAAGAAAAAAAAAAAATCCATGATGGTTCCACCCCCATGACCCAATACCTCTTAAAGGCCCCTGCGTCTCTCAATACCGTTACGTTGGAGCTTGTTTGAACAGGAGTTTTGATGAGGACAAGCAGCATTCAAGCCATAGCAGCATTATTCACAAGGGCATTTCATCCCTTGCTTTTAAGCAAAGGAAGGTCACAGGGTCACACACCTGCTGTACTTCAAGTCTAATTCCAAATACTCAGGATGCCAGAGGCGCATCTATTGGGGTGGCACACCTGGAACTCCTTTTCCCACATCCTCGACTGCCCTAGGCTTACAAAGGCCGAGTTGGTGGCCACAGAGAGGAGGATCAGGCTAGCGGCTGAGCAGTTGCAGAAGGACAAAAGAACAGGTGAGAATCAACACCAGAGGTCAAAGGGAGAGCGTTTCCCCCAATGGCTGACCGGCCTCCGTCCCACAGGACAGATCCATCCACCAAACGTCGGGCTTCATTCATCTGACGGAGAGAGAATATCTTGCCCTCTAAAATGTGCAGATTAGACACTTTGCCCAGAGTAATCCAAGCAGGCGCAGCATGGGGCTATATGAGAGCCCCTCAGGTCATCGGAGGTATGCTCTTGAAGGGGACTGTGGATTCTGGCCCCTTCCTCTTTCGTTGCTTCCTGTCTCGTGATGTAAATGCTTTTGCTCTGCTCTGTACGCTTGTTTTGATGTGCTGCGTTGCCTTAGGCCCTAAAGCAACAGGTCCTCCTGATCATGAACTGGGACCTCTAAATCCATGAGCCAAAATATACCTACTTTCTTTTTAAGTTAATTATGTCAGGTATTTGGTTATAGTGATGGGAAGCTGACTAACTCAGAGCCAATCTCTCAGGGAGGAGTTCACTCTGAGAGACTGCTGAGCTCGTCAGAGGGCAGTGCTCCCTGTGACTGACTGAAATGCCTCCCATCGGGTGGATTTGGGGGAACACGTTCAGACTATAGCAGTTTGTAATAGGGCAGCAATTGTGTGCCCACTGGCAATAGGAGGACCACGGGATTCCCAGGTTGTGTCAACACCGTGGCAGACCAAAACACATCTGGAGCCGTGTCAGTGGGGCAGTGTTTCCTTCTTCCAGTTCGATGGCTTTGTAGCTGGTGGATTATGCCTGCAATGTTTCATGGGGCAAAAGTATGGCCCAGCCAGTTGTTAGGTTTCCCTGGAAATTCCACCTTCAGGAGCTGCTACAACCCAGAAGGAAGTCAGGACAGGTATCCAAGAGGCCTCCGTGACCGGGGTACCATGTCCCCAGCTGCCAGGCTCTCAGAGGGCGGCAGGGGAGCAGGATGTTAAGTGTTATGGGGACCCAGGTGATGAGGCTGGTTAGTGGGGCTCGTCATAGGTGGCCTGTCATCGGGAAGAGCCGGGATGGGTCTTGTGAACTGGCAAGAGAGCTGACAGCCTGGGGACTTGTTTAAAAACATGGGGGGGGGGGGGCCTCTGGCCCTTTCTTTACCTGTATAATAAATTCCTACGAAGCCTCCTGTGAACAGTAAGAGGAACCTGGAAACTGCACCAACGAGAAGCGGCTTCTCACTCGGCAATCCCATCGCTTTCTTTGCCTGGCTCCTGAGAATACTCTGTAAGTTTCCCTGGTGACCCTCCCAGAGGAGCGCAGGTCACTGTGACCTGGTGCTGACCCCAGTGAGGAATCACTGACTGCTCCAGCTCTTCAAAACCTAGAGGTGCCTAAGTCCACCATTCACTGATCTGATCTGTCAGAAGTGAGTCCGGAAGAGCCACCCACCCACCCCGACCCATGACGAGGGCAAGGGCGCCAGGAGCCCTGAGCTTCAGCTTAGATCCCCAGCCCCCACCCCCCCACACCCCCGCACATTTGCAGGTTGTCACCGACTGCATCTGAGCTCCGTGTGTGTGTGTGTGTGTGTGTGTGTGTGTGTGTGTGTGTGTGTGTGATGTGGGGTTGAACCCAGGGCCTTGTGCATGCGAGGCAAGCACTCTACCAACTGAGCTGTATCCCCAGCCCCCGAGCATTTTTGATCTTGGACTGAAGTTATAGAAATTGGGCTGCGTTAGGGCTGGGGACATGGCTCAGTTGGTAAAGTGCTTTCCTCTCATATGCACAAGGCCCTGGGTTCTAATCCCCAGCACCACAAAAAAAAGAAAAAAGAAAGAAATTGGGCTTGTCCTGTGGTAGGAGCTGAGGGAGGAGTGGGTGCCTGATCAGGTTGGAGAGAAACTTAACTGGGCCTTGTAGAGCTACCTGGTGGGTGAGTTTCCAGGAAGACAGAAAATGATGGTTTTATTTAAATCGAGGGAGTCCTAAGACTCTGTCTCAGAACCTATGCTTCTCTAGGAAAGAGGGTGAATCTTACAAAAAACAATTTAGAATTTTACTGGCCACAAGGGGTGGGTTTTAACTTAAAGTTGCTCATCTATGGGTTCCATGGAGAAGGGGAGGAGGGTCTTTCAAACCTCTCAGAGTCCACAGGGTAGTTCTGGCTTTTTGGCAGGCAGAGGCTTTAAGCTTTCTTTCCTAGGTGGGGGGTGGGCCCTTTAAGAGGTGGGGCTTAGTGGGAAGTCCAAACTGGCAGCTGGCCTCCAAGTCAAGCCCTCTTTTTTTTTTTTTTAGCTTTCGGGGAACACAACATCTTTGTTTCAACATCTTTGTTTATGTGGTGTTGAGGATCTAACCGCAGCACGCATGCCAGGCGAGCGGCGCTACCGCTCACTTGAGCCACATCCCCAGCCCAAGTCAAGCCCTCTTGAAAGCCTCCACTCTCTATCTGGCTTCCTGTTTTGAAAAGTGATCCCTTCCTTTCTCACATGTTCCTGTCATCTGCCCTGGGACCCTCATCCCATCCTGCATCATGCATTTGAACTTTGAACCTCACACTGTGAGCTAAATAAATCTCTTTATTTTATAAGGTTAGCTTGCCTCAGGTATTTTGTTATAGCAAAACAAAGACAGAGGCCCTAAGAAATTTTTTGGTCATCTGTTCCCTCTCTAGGGATATTTACCCCCAAGATCATCTGGCCAGTCGGATAACTACAGGGTAATCATGGGTGGAAGAACACCCCTTGCCAGTGAGTGTTTCTTGCTGGGGATGGAACCCAGGGCCTTGCACACTCCAGGCAAGTGTTCTGCCCATGAGCTGCATTGTCAGCACTAATTGTTTCCCCCCAATATAGAAGCCCTTCCCATTCAAAGGGTCCGCTGAGGCCACTGCCGAGCGGGAGCTTCGAGACTTTTATTCCAGGGGTGATGCTGCCCATCACAAGAAGCCTTTTCAAAGAAACACCAGGAGGGAACTTTCCAGGCTTAGAAAGAATCTGTAGCATGGCCACAAGAAGTATCCAGAGAGCAGATGCACGAGATCCAGCCTCCATGATCCCAGACTCCACTCCCAACGGCTGTGCAAGAAAGCAAAGTCCTTGGTTGTCACAGGTGGTGATAAAAGTGCTTGTGAAACAGTGGGTCTCCCGCGGAGGCACCAGGTGGACCACATGGGACAGTGAGGGTGGAGATGAGGAAGCCCTCCCTGGGGCCTCTTATCAGGACAAACTCCCAGGGAGTCAAACAAAGAAAGAGCTGTGTGTCTCTCAGACCTTTGTTCCCTGTGTGTTCTGCTGGCAGCCCCACACCAGCCAAGACTTGTGTCCCCCTGCCTGGCAGAGGCCAGACGGGAGATTCTTACTGTCACAAAGCCAAGCCCTCGGTGTAAAATAAGATGTAAAATAAGACGGGTGAAGAGTTTTCGCGGGAGTGGCAGAAAGTCTGCACGGAGGCCGGCCTGACAGGGGACGTGACCTGCCTGGCCACGAGGGTGGCTCAGGTAACAGGCACAGGACCCACATCTGGGTTCCAGCTGTCCTCCTCCTCCTCACTCCCAGTGACGGGAAGGACAGAGACTGGAGAAAGCAGTGACCATCTCTGGGAGGAAAAGGGGCAACAGAAACAAGAACAGACCTGACAGACTCCGGCGGGGGCTCTCCCCAAAGACCTGGCTCACCCAGAGGTTTTCTCCTGAATTTTGGAAGGGAAGGAGACAAGGAGAGACTCTTGCTAGGCTTCAGCTGGACCTGGCGCCAGAGGTCTGGGAGCAGGCCGGGCTGAGCATCCTCCCCTCCTGCTGGCTTCTGTCAGGAGTCTCGGCTTCAGCAGCCTGGAGCAAGCCGGGTCCCAGCCAGGGAACCCCTTCTCCTTGTTAGAAACTAGGGGACCCCGGAATTTACCTCTATCTTGTTCCCCCTCTCCTTTGGCTAGGCCTGAGAACTCAATCAACAGGAGCCAGACCAGCCCGAGAGCGTTAAATTGACTTCATCCAAACTTTCCAAGGCGCAGGAGGCTTCGTGGGATGAGAAGACCAAAGACATGGTTAGCGTGGGAGTGTGAGTGTGAGCTGGACAAAGAGTAGCTAATTGTGAAAATGGAGGAGGCTGAGCGGCTTGGGAGGTGGGTAACTGGATGGAGAAGAGGCTAGGGAGAGGGGGGTGGGTTTAATGAGGATTGTCGGGGGATCTCCCTTGCATCCTTGCTGGTGGGAATGAGGTTTTCCCTCTGTAGAGGGAGGGCAGCGTTCACGTGGGAATTTCACCTCCTGCTTTTAAGTCAAGGAAGGACGGTCCGAATGATCCAGTACCTGTTGTCTTTTGAGTGTCTAACTCAATATAGTCAGTACACCAGAGTGGCATATTCTGGAGCAGCATGTTCTTAATGCCTTCTGTATACACACACGTGCATATGAAGAAGTCTATTATAAGGTACGCTCATGGGATCATGGAGGCCAAGAAGTTCCACGATGGGCCATCTGCAAGCTGGAGACCAAAGCCCTAGAGCCAGAGCGCTCTCCCCAGACTCTCAGGGGGTCGGACAATGCGTGCCCACTTTGGAGAGGGCTGCTGCTGCTGTGCTTCAGCCCACCCATTCAGATGCCAGTCTCCTCCAAAATCACCCTCGCAGACACACCCAAAAGTCACATTTAATCAGCTATCTGGGCATCCCGTTGCACAGCCAAGCTGACACATGAAATTAACCATCACAGTGGACAGTCCAGTGGGTCTCCCACCTCGTCTCATGTCCAGTTTGTGGAAGGAAGGACTGGAGCAAAAAGATGAACCCACGGGCTGGGGTTGTGGCTCGCCTAGCACGTGTGAGGCACTGGGTTCCATCCTCAGCACCACACAAAAATAAACAAGTGAAATAAAGGTGTTGTGTCCAACTACAACTAAAAAATAAATATTTAAAAAAAAAAGATGAACCCAGCTTGGTAACTGGGGAAGGGGCGTCCATAGGGGCAGAGGAGCCAGGCGAAGCAGAGGCCTGGGGTAGGCGCAGGGAAGGGCAGGAGGGACCAGCCGGATAGCACTCCCAAGAACAGCCAGAGGAGCAATGCCGTGGTAGGCTCTTGGCCAAGACCAGAGCTTGCCATTAACCCGGGGGACACCCCACATACAGGAGTCCTTAGGGACTCCAACCGCCTTCCCTCCATTTCCAAGAAAACTTATCCTAATGAGTTGAGCCTTTCGAGGAAATGTCACTGTCGGGTGGAGGGGAGGCATTTGTGTCCTGGCTGCCGTCTTCTGCCCTGGTGCCCTGTGACGGGCCCTGAGGCAGATTCCACGTCCAGAGGCTGAGCTCTGGGGCCATTCAAGGTGTCAAAACATGCCAGCTTCAGCATCAGGGCAGGTGCCTGGACAGCTCCGGGAGCCTGGGACACAGAGCAGCTGAGGGCAGCGCCGGGCAGCGCCCAGGGGCTGGGAAAGTGGGCAGTGGCTGCAGTTGATTCACCAGACAGAGGCCTTTGGATTCAGGATGTGCAGGTCAAAGGTTAAAAGTGTAAAAGTGCACCCACCCTTGCCAGGGGCTGAGGCGCAGCCTGCAATTCCAGCGACTGGAGAGGCTGAGGCCGAAGAATGGCAAGTCTGAGGCTAGACTCAACCATTTAGTGAGACTTTCAGCCACTTATCAAGCCGGGCACTGTGTGCGAGGAAACCCGGCTCTGACCCACCCCGCACCGTGAGACTGGAGACGTCTCAGATGGTGGTGACTTTGCCAGCCTGGGTCCCCAGTGAAGATGACATGGAGAGGGCCCCTGCTAATGTGTAATGGACATGCGGTATGACTGAGAAATGCCCCTGACCTTGTACATTGCTGCCTTCTGAAGCTGTTTGCTACTGCAACGTGACCAGACCCTCGATGCGCTGCTCTGGGCTCAGGCCGAGGGGATCCAGTCAACCCATCTGCTTTCAGAGTTGATCAGAGAAGGAGATGAGAGAGAGAGCTGTGACTCTGGTGTAGTCCCCTCAAGACGCGACAGAATCTGATCTGGAGGGGGAGGGCCCAGGAAGGCACAGGCAGAGGGGGCAGCGGAGAAGAAGCTGAGGGTCCCAGCTCTCTTCTTGACATGGGCGTTGGGCAGCAGCCTGGAGGGAGGAGCAGGCCTGGGGTGCCCTGAGCTGTGGGCATGACTGGTGCTGTTCCTGGGCCACTGGGGACAGCAAGGGGTGGCTCTGGAGCTGCCCCTTCTGACCGGTTGGAGATGGCTTGAGTGTGTCCCCCAGAGATTCATGGCTCCATGTGGCTGTGTGAGACGAGATGGAAGCGGCAGCTCTGCCCTGGGAAGGAATGAATCCTGGTCTCACAGAGCCGGTTAGTTCCCACCAGGACGGGCAGTTCAGAAGAGCAGCACCGGCCCCTGCGGCTCGCTGGCTTCCTGCCTCACCACGTGATCTCCCGCTCCCCCTCCGCCACTGACACGCTCAGACCTCAGCAGAGTTGAGCAGAAGCCACCCAGTGCTCTGGGACCTGCAGAATGGTGACCTAAATAAAGTCTCTTTTTAAATTACCCAGCCTCAGGTATTTTTTTAATAGCAACAGAAAATGGACTAAGACTCGGCCCAAGAAAGGATCCACAGTCGCGCTTCTGTGGGCTTCCCAAAGCCCCACCCTCACCCCCCCACCCCCGCCCCTGGGAACTTTTGACCCGCTGTGCAACTTCTTCCAACCACAGCTCCGTCATTTCCCTCCAGTCTGCTTCTAGTTACCCTCTGAAATATACACAAGGACCAACCGACCGAGAACATGCTCGGGCTACTTACCCAAGCTTGCTCCAACAGGGAACCAGCCACTGTGGCTTGTGTTTGCGGAGATTCAAAGGCAGGCAGGGAAGGAGAATGGTTTTCAGTGGACACAGGGAAGGAAGGCTCCGGCATGTCCTGATGGAGGGAGCTGCTCCAGGGAGCTGGGGGAGCCTGACTCAAAGCAGATATCCCACTATACACCTGGCTTTCGCTGGGAGGTCTTAAGTTAAAAGCAGAGACAAAAACTAGCCCAGTGTCAGTTATCAACCAAGTCCTGGCATCTGGGGCTGATCACCACAGTTGTCTTTTGCAGATGGTCAGGGAGGGAGCAGTCTCACTGTGGCTGGCCTCTGGCAGGCTAGTGTAGATGGGGGTTGGTGTCCTGGACTTGGTAGCTGCCAGTTGCAGGCTTGGGCTCTTTTCCCATGTGGTCGGCCATCGTCCATCTGCACATTCACAGTCATTTCTCTGGAGGCCAGTGACCCCACCGTGCCACCTGGAAGTCCTTGCTCAGGTGTCTGGAACTTGAGTGGAGAACCATCCCACAGTGGACCGCGGGCGCCCACAGGCTCTTCCCAGGGAGGAACAACTCCTGACTGGTTTCTGGGCTCTTGAAGAGACTGGACACTGGATCACAGGCATCAGGGAAAGCTGATCAGGAGCCGCCCACCAGAACACTGAGACACAAGCCCAGGGAGCCCAATAGCAGGGTCTGCTGGCAGAAGTTCCCTGTCAGCTTCCTGCAAATTCCCAGGGCATCAGATATCAATGGACAACCAAGATTGCCAGATATTTGAGAGAAAGCTCTAACATGAAAGGAAAAGGTAGCAAACAGAAGGCACTCAGAGAAGAGAGAGGTCCTACGGGATGCTCTTGTGAGCGTGCGAGCGCACACACAACTTCAAATGAACTTTAATCCTTATCTTCAGGGATTTTATATTAAAAAAAAATTTAGTTGTTGATTTTGTTTATTTACATGCGGTGCTGAGAATCGAACCCAGGGCCTCACTTATGCCAGGCAGGTGCTCTACCGCTGAGCCCCAGCCCCAGCCGCTCTTCAGGGAAATTTTAAAAAAGAGAGCAAGAGATTAAGAGAAGGAGGCTATCGAAAGGAGCACCTGGAGAGAAAGAAGGCGTTCTCGGGAGTTAAAAATAGGAGAGCAGAAATGAAAAATCTCAGGAGATGAAGTTGAGGAAAATGCAAAAATAGAACAAAAGATAAAAGGTAATAACGACTTGAGGAGGTGCAGGGAGAGGCGGGGAGAAGGCAGAAAACCAAAGAGCAGGGAGGAAAGGACCCAATGAGTAATACAGTTCCGCCTCCCAGCCTGAGGAACAGCAGCTTCCGGAATGAAAAGAACCCAAGACTGATCAGAAGCACATTGTGAAATTCCAGAGACGGGAATAAGATGAAGACCCTGCATCCTTCCAGAGAGATAAACAAACCGAATTTGGAATTGCATCACTTTCTCATGGATTTTTAAATGTGTCCACAAACACTTGGATAGCACTGCCCCTCTGTGCCTCCCGGGAAGCCGGCCAGCCTTTGTGTCGCCTCAGGGTGAACCGAGCAGTGGAATGGTGGGGGTGGGGGGTTCCAGGCTTGGCGGTTTCTGTGACATTCATCCCGGGCTGCCTGCTCCACAGGGAGAGGGGAGAGGGAGACAGAGACACAAAGCGTCTCCAGTTGCTCTCCCAGCCCAGGTGACAGGTGCCAGCCAGGTGACCAGGGTGCCCTCAAGGTGACCCCATGCAGCTGCTATCTGACTGACCACTGGGGGCCCTGGGTGAGAATTGCCTGGTTAAGCCCAGATTCATTGTCCTTGGAAAGGACAGAGGGGACCAACAGGGTGACCTGAAGCTGCAGATCTTCATTCTTGTGTTCTCATGAAAGAAAACTTAAAGTCAGACGCAAAAAGTCAAGAGAACTTTATCACGAAGGAAGGTAAAGTAAGGCTCAAGCATGAAGCCCTCTCAAGAGGGAATGGAGGTCCACAGAGGAAACAGGGCTGCTTCCTCGTTCATCAGGTTGACATTTGCCTTGAGAGCTGGGGTTCCCCTTCTGCACCCTCTGCCAATCAAGTGTTCAGCCTCTCCTTGACGTTGGGCAGGGGAGGTTTTGATCCTCCTTGGTCTTTTCTAGAACTGTCTCCTTGATCATCCTGTCCAGGGAGGCTTCGTCTACACGTCCATCCTATGTTAATGTGGATATTGGGGTCAGTGGCTGGGCAAAATTTATCTTAGTGCACCTGCGCTACTAAGAAATTTCTCTTTTGAAATATGCTGAGAAACCTGTGGCCATAAATCCTAGCTTTACAATGACTCCTACAGACCCTGTTGGGTGTAGGTCCCACTGATCCTCTTTTCTTGAGGTGTTTCTTTTTATTTATTTACTTACTTAGAGTGTGTGAGTGTGAGTGTGTGTGTGTGTGTGTGTGTGTGTGTGGTGCTGGGGATTGAACCCAGGGCACTGCGCACTCGAGGCAAGCACTCTACCAACTGAGCTATATCCCCGCCCTCTTGACATATTTCTTAATTGGCTCCCTTGGTTTCCACTTGTTTATCTGCAGGTTTGTGAGCCTGTGGTTGTTGTATAGGTTATTCGATTATTCATTTGCCTTAAAAGTCATTTAAAGAAACCTGTGACCTTGCCCACTGCTCATCACTGACTACTACCTACACGTGGGGGTAGAGAGAGAGAGTGGTGACACACACCTGCTTGCAGCTGCCCAGGTCTGGAAGTGACACACTCTGCTTCTGCTGCCCCATTTGGTGGCAAGGGGGCTGGGAAACAGTTTCGCTCTTTGCCCTGGAAAAAGAAGTGAGCTTGTAATGTCCATCCAGTCCCCGCCACACACACGAGAGCCCACGTAGACCCAGGAGCTTGGGGTGCGATGGCAGAGGCATCTAAGTAGAGTCCTGTATCATTTGACAGGGGGACATTTTGTCATTGTGCTAACATCATAGAACCTACTTAGGGGACCACCGGCATCCATGCCATCTGTCATTGACTGGAAAGTCATTCTGCAGCACAGGGCTGTAAGTTTGAAGAGTTATTTAATAGTATTAATAAAATCCACTCGCTGTATTAAGGATGTTACTGGGTCCTTGCCTCACACTATATATAATAAACTCCAAATAGATCAGCAGTTCTTGACCTTCCCAGGGGCAGTTTAGTCCCCCAGAAGACATCTGGCAATGTCTGCAGGCAGTTCTGTTGTCACAATGGATGCTGCTGGCACTGGGAATGCCCCTCAGCTCCTGCACCTACAGGATGGCTGCTCCCAACAAGGAACCGTCCCGTTGCCAACATGCACGGCAGCAGGGCTGGAGAAGCCTGTGGCGCACCTGCCTGGGAAAGAGAAGAGTCAAACACAGAAGGAAGTTAAGTGTGCCTACGACCTTAGGTGTGGGGCGAATTTCTTTAAAAAAGCCCCAGAGTGAATGAACACGACTGCATCGCAGCTGAGAGTCCCCTGTGCCAAGATCACTGCTGTGCATCAGGTTATCCATGATTATCAGCAAGACCATTGCATCTACTGACAGGAGGCATTGCAGCCTCTGATGGGGGAGGAAGGCCTGTGGTTGGGGCGGATGTTCTCACCCCTCTGTCACAATCCCCCAAAGCCATGAAGACCAAGAGAGAGCCACTACACACCTCCCCAAAGTGGGGACATACAAAGCAACTACAATATGAGTTTCTGTTACCAAATCACATACCCCGGCGTTCACACACCAGTCGCTAACAAGGAGACAGGGCTTCCTGCAGGGAAAACAGGGAGGGCACTGTCCTTCCAACTGCTCTTGGGACATTCTCTATGACGACCACAGATCAGGCCTTGAAGAGAGTTTTAGAACATTCCGAAGAGTTCAAGAGAAGTAATAAAACCCAAAATAACAAAACCAGGACGTAAAACACCCTAATGGCTGTATATCTGTAGAAATTACTTCTCCAGGAAAAACTGCAGTACATCAAGCACGTGGTTATGAAGAAGCCCCTCCATCAGAGCCCGGCCAGCTGTCTCGGCTCAGCTCTACGCTCTCCAGAAGGGAGGGCCTCACCAGAGAGCAACGGACCCAGCGCAGCAACGGAAGCCCCTCCAAACCTCCTCTGTGGCTTGGGGGAAATCATCTTTGCAGGGAGCCAAGGGACAGCAGGAGGAAGAAAATGTAACCGAAGACGAAGGGCTCAACCTGTTTCTAATAATAAACACAGCAGGGGCTTCCTCCTTTTGCTGGTTGATAAATGGGGTCTGGCATTTCTAAACACTGGACCCTCAAAGAGCGGTGAAGGTGGGTTTCGCATTACCAACAGCCTGGGATTCACGGAGGGACATGGAAGCTCCTCTTGGTGTCTGTCATCCCAAATAGCCATCAAGGGCTATGCTGGGCAGAAACAAAGAGACTGGTGCTTTTGTGTTGGGGGACAAATAGCACCTAGGCAGGATGCCAAGGTCAATTGGGGGAGGGGCCACGGGGAGACAAGGCACATACCCAGGCCAGATCTGCAGGGTGTCTGATCCCCACAGGGAGGTGCCAGGAGTGGTGACCTGAGGGCACTGTTTGGGGACCTGAGACCTGTGTCCACTGAGAGCTCCATGGTCCATCACCTGACAGCAGCTGCAGGTGATTTGAGAAACTGATGTGACTCCATTTTTGAAAACAGCTTCTACCTCAAGGCCTGTCCAAGGAAGGGGGAGTGACCTTTATCCTTGGAAAAACCCACAGAGCACTCCTAGGCACATCCCCACCCTGCTGAGTTGTTTGTCTGCAAATAACAGGAGAGATCTGCTGCGCCAGGTGTCCCTGACTCAGTCAGGCTAGGTGGGGACCCCTAGCAACCCCCTAGCAACCACCAATCAGCATGAGACAGGGAAAATACCTGGGATGCCAGATGACCCCCCCCCCCCCCTTAGTCTGGGTGGTTGATAACATGTTGGGAAACGTACTCCCCTCAAGGATTAAACCAATCAGTTCAAACGAATCCCCCTCTTGTACTAACCAATCACCCCTACCCAACTTGTTCCTGCCAGTGAATGTGCAAACCAATGTTAAGAGTTGTTGTTTGACTTTCTCGCGGTGTGACATGATTTGCTGTTTGATGTTGTGACGCACAGAGTATCCCCTAAAACCTATAAATCCTTACTGAACAAAGGGATTCACTCCCTGGGACCCCTACGTTGGGAACAGCTGTGAGTCCAGGGCTCGAGCTTGTAATAAAGACTCTTGTGTGATTGCATCGGATTCGGCTCCTGGAGGTCTACTGGGGTCCCACGAATCTGGCATCACAATGTCAGGTGTCAGGATCAGTATTAGCCAAAGGGGGACTCAGAGACACTGGCAGGACGGGGGCTGGGCCGCGTAGCAGAGAGCTGAGAGCAGCCAGGAGGAGGCCTGGCGGCAGCAGAACAGCCCACCCCGCACACACTCCTGTTCTAGGTCACCGTCAGCCTCCACCCCCTGACTTTCCTTCCCCCGGTTTTAAATTTATAGACAAAAATTAGAAAGGTGTCTAGTTGAAGAAAGACGAGACCAGCCTGAGACCCCCTCTGTCCTGTCAAACACGTTAATATGAGAGAAGAAAGAAATCTGAATACTGAAATCTCAGCCGAGAAAAAGCAGAGTTTTGTGTAGATTTGAAATAAACCTCTCTCCCAAGGAGGGAAACAGGAATTAACCTGCAGCCAGGGTGGGAGCCAGCGTCTGGGTCGCAGCCAGGATGCAGGTGCCCAGCCATGGCTGAGATCCTGAGGTCAGGCCTCCGCCATCCGCCTGCAGCAGGGGCCAGAAAGGCCCAGCCAGGCCTCCATTGAACAGGGCCAGGGAGGGACTTGGGAGAAAGACATGGTATACATACAGTTGGCCCCTATCTGTGGGTTCTGAGTTCCAGGATTCAAGCAAACAGGAATTGAAAATATTTGATTAAAAAAATACCGCCTCTATGCTGATACTGAGCTTGGCCAAGACTTTATTTCCTTAACAATACCGTAGAACAACTATCCACACGGCATTTAGACTGCATCAGGTATTCTAAGTGTTCTAGAGATTTAACATATACAGGAGTGTGTATGTAGGTGACACGCAAATACTACACCATTTGATGTAGGGACTTGACTATCCATGGATATTGGAATCCTGGGGGTCCTGGAGCCAGTCCACTGTGAATGCCAAGGGACAACTGCACACTGTTTTTGTTTCATATTCAGCAGGAGGGTAGAGAGACATTAGCTAGCTTTTGCCTGGAAGTGAAGTTTAGGCCTGACTTAAAAATTTGAGAGTAGCCACTAAAAATAGAAGCAAAATGTAAAACTTCCAAACCCACAGGAGACCGCACACAGAAAGCTCAGCTAATGCAACAGAAGACCCAGAAATAGAGGGAAAATGAAATAAAGAGGAAGAATACTAAACAGAAAGCACAATATGT